TAGCCGTGTCTTTCCAAGTATGCTCGATGCAACTTTCCAGCCCAAGAGCTGCCAGGAAAACAAAAGACGCAAACCGTAAAGCTCAGCTGCCTTTGACAAAAACGTGAGAGGTTTTTTTTTGCGTACCATCAAACTCGTCCTGCCAAACTCCATAGTTGTTCGTGAATGGCATGTCCGGACCCACGAGCACCACACTCAATCCTCGCCTGGCTGCCTCGGAAGCTAGCGCGAGCCCTGCTGGTCCACAGCCTATCACGGCCAGATCAAGCACCTTATCGTCAGTGAATGCCGTCAACTGGATCAAAAAACCAAAGTGAGAAAAACAAGGAAAAACAAAACGAAGAACACCATCGAACCTTGTCAGCGATCTTTGGTTGATCCATGGGCTTCAAAGCTTGCATCTGGACGAAGCTAAGCTCTTGGCCCCCAGCCTTGACATAGTCTCCCTCGTCGACATACTTTTTCTGGAGAGGAGCCACTGTTGCCTTGGCATAGCTTTGCCGCCTTCTTGAGCTCCTACAGTATGAAATCCTGGCAACTCCACAGCCCTCTTGCAATTCTTTGGTGAGAAAACCAGTCGAGAAGGCGGTGGATGGCTTGATCAAAGATGCCATCGCAAGAAAAAGTAGCTCAATTTGCGTCGGCCACAAATTTCCTCTCTATGCACGTCACAGCAAATGTATTTTAAGAAACGTCTCCAGGAATGTCCGCTAGGAGAGACAAAGAATCTCCTATTCACTACAGACAGCTCCTATTGAAATCACCCGGCATTCCTGAAAGATCGCATGGATTCGATCAGCATGGAGCATCCAATCGACAGGGACAAGAGAATAGGAGATTCCTTACCTGGAGCGGGCACTCTCCGCCATCGCAACGATAGCAGCAACCATAGCTGGAAAGAACCCTAAATCCAAATCGACGGCTGGGACCGTCTTATCCAGTGGGATAGCCCGCCAAATATTTTGGAGCAAAACCCTATGGATATGGCCAGCACTTCCTCCAGCGTCGCCAGCTGCGCCATCGTCAGGGCGAGGATCGTGTCCAGGATCGCCATCGCCAGGAGCCGTGCCGTGCTGAGATGTGAGCGATGCAAATCCACGGCCCTCGGGCTCCAGGTATCCTCTAGTTTCTTCTCCACTCGTCGCGATTCGACTGGCTATGGAAGGAGGAGAAGGACAATGCGAGGGCTCGCCGCATTGGACAAAGAGGAAGGATCCTCCCCTTCCAGTGTAGTAGAGATTGAGGGGAATGAATCAGATGGAACAGAAGAATCGGCTGGAGAGACTGTGGCGAGAGATCTTACCCCAGAAGAAGAGGAGGACCAAGAGTGCGTCGATCAGATCCTCAGAGTACGTAGAAAACTTTTCTTTCTTCCAGTTTTCATTCGTTTTCTTTGTTGTAGATACTGGAGCTTCTAAGGATCAACAGAGACATGACTCCCAACGAGGTGCGACCTTTCTTTCCATGACCTCGCTGCCATCGTCTTACATTTTTTTGTTTCTTCTCGTGCTCCTTTTTTCATCCCAGGTCAGGCTCGTTGTTATGATAGAAGATCCTCGTGAGGCGGAAACTGCTGGAGTGCTCACTGAGGATGGTGAATGGACGAGCTACCGGGATGAAATGGGAAACGCTTTGATAGACGTAAGCTCACTCCACCTTTCTCGTTTTACGGAATCATAGCTTGTGCCTCTGGTTTTCTCTATAGATCAGCGAAGGTAGAATTCCAGATGATCGAGAACTCCTGCGAGCGCTAAGGAACGAGCTACTCAGCTGGCCCAACCTTGAAGTAAGCATTACTCTTTCCTTTTGTTTCCAGTGCTCAGTTTCTCGTGAAAACCCTCGAAGGAAATGGCTGACAAAAGAGATCCTCGTCAATCATCTTACGCTCAAATCACGGATACCGGAGTTGATCCAGTTTTCGCCGGCAAGCGTGCCAAGGTGGACGCCAAGGTGGACGCCGAGGTGGACGCCGATCCGCTCAAGTCGACACCGGGTGGGGGCTGGGACGAGGCAGCGGAGATTATACCCGGCAAGGAGAAAGACATGTCTGAGAAGTTGCCTCCAGCATTTGTAAGTTAGCTCTCTCAAGTTTTTTGGTTTTGTTCTGATCTCTACTAAACGTTTCCAGGGATACAGCCTGCTTTACTTAGTGAGCTTGTTGCCGATACTCATAGGTGTTGCTGTGGTTGCAATCCTTTTCTTCAACTCTTTTCAGTGATTTGCGCCACAGAACTTACCGTGAGGACGATTTTCGTCTAACTTATTCGAGCCTATAAATAAGCCTGCTGCGAGCTGATGCCATTTAAGTTGTTTGTTTCTTGATTCGTCTCTAACTCGTTGATTGAAAAGTTTTAGGAAACGACGCTTGAACGACTTGTAAGTGCTCTCAAATTATCTGAACTTGTGTAAGTGCTCTCAAGTTTGAATCTCCTGAGACATGTTTCGTGTTCGTTTTCAGGGTATTTTCATCTCTGAAAGTCTAGAGTCGGAGCCTAGAGGTTCTCTTTGACGGACTTTCTTTCTGAAAGATCATTTTCCTTGCGGACTGGTGGATGAATAATTGTTTGGCTAGCAGCTTTGCAGTCTTCGCAAAGTGACAAAAAATTGGTGACAGCCGAAAGGTACCTTAGTGCCAAGTCTTTAGTTTTTTTTCTCTGACTCTTTATTCGACTGCTTCAAGCTTGAACACACAGATAAGGTTTTAGACGTTATAGTGAGACAAGACGAGATGAAGGAGTGCGTCTTGCTTGTGTTTCTAGGACTTTTTCTTGTCACCAATGCAGCGTATGTGAATCTATCTCGGGCCAGCTTTCCCAAAGGATTTACGTTTGGAACAGCAACATCAGCATATCAGGTTGGCTAAATTGATTCATTGTTCTTTGGAAAACTTTGAACAAGAGCTGAGCTTCCTGTGTTTTGCCAGGTCGAAGGAGCGGCTAAGAAATATGGAAGAGGGCCGAGTATCTGGGACGTTTTCATCCGCACTCCAGGTCTGATAGAATTGTGATGCTGTTGAGAATCTCCTATTGTGGATAATCTCCAGGTAGAGTTCAGGAGAATGCAACTGGAGATGTGGCAGTGGATGAATACCATCGATACAAGGTTTTCAGTCCGTCTATTCCTTGTGCTCTTCTAATGTCCAGTTTGTATCAGGAAGACATCGATCTCATGGCGGACCTCAACATGGATGCTTATCGCTTCTCAATATCCTGGTCGCGCATCTTTCCTGGTATTTGTAGACATTTTAGCCTCTCAAGGAATGAGATGAGACCTCCTGATCATGGCTGAAACAGAGGGGAAAGGAAGAGTAAATCGTTATGGAGTAGCTTACTACAACAGGCTTATAGACTACTTGCTCCTGAAAGGGATCCAGCCTTATGCCAATCTCAATCATTATGACTTGCCAGAGTCACTCGAGAAGGATTACGAAGGATGGCTGAGTCGCAAAGTAGTGTAAGTTTTCATCTTGAATAGGATATCTATCTCAAGGAGCTCGTTTGCTTTTCTTTGCAGGAAAGACTTTACAAACTTTGCAGAGTTTTGCTTCAAAACTTTCGGTGATCGTGTGAAGTACTGGACAACCTTTAACGAGCCACGAGTTGTTGCTCAGCTCGGGTATGACAATGGCCAATTCGCACCTGGCCGATGCTCAGCACCTTATGGAAACTGTACAGAAGGCAACTCGGCTACTGAGCCTTACATTGTGGCTCACAACCTTTTGCTTTCTCATGGCTCTGCTGCTCAAGTATATAGGAAAAAGTATCAGGTTTGTACTTTCTTTTCTTGAGCTTGTGAGTTACTACACATTGTGTTATTGCAGGAGAAACAGAAGGGATCCATTGGAATCTTATTGGATTTTGTGTATTACGAGCCATTTTCAAACTCAACTGAAGACATTGATGCAGCTCAAAGAGGGCGAGACTTTCATGTAGGCTGGTAAGAAGTTGTGAAGTTGTTTTTGATTTTTCAAGTTGCTTAGAACTGTTTTTAGGTTCTTGGAGCCTATCATAAATGGATCATATCCCAAAACAATGCAACAGTATGTTGGCTCACGACTTCCGAAATTCTCCAAGGATGACATTGAAATGGTGAAGGGATCAGTGGACTTTGTTGGTATCAATCACTACACAACATACTATGCCAAAGATGCTGGCTCTCAAAATCGTAACACCACTGATTATTTTCAAGACATGAACATCCAAATGCTACGTAAATCACAATCTCCAATCCATTTTTTTTTTCTTTCTAATTGTTTGTTTCTTTCCTTGCACAATCCATAGATGACAGAGATGGAGTTTCAATTGGGCCACGAGTAAGAGATTTTATTGAAGTTCTTTTATTTTATTCTTGTTTTGTAGGCACACTCTACATGGCTATACATTGTTCCCTGGGGAATGTACAAAGCACTGTCATACATTAAAGACCACTATGGAAATCCAAAGGTTGTGCTTTCAGAGAATGGTAAGTTTTATAGTTTTGCAATCCAACCATTTGCTTATGGGTGTTCTTTAAGGAATGGACGATCCTGCAAATCTTACACTATTTCAATCATTGCATGATACAACTCGCATCAATTACTACCAAAGCTACATTGAGAATTTAGTTGCAGCAATGAAGTAATAAGCTCTAGTTTTCTAAACTGACAATGGCTGAAATCTTTCAGGGATGGAGCTAATGTTCATGGATATTTTGCTTGGTCTCTGGTGGATAATTTTGAATGGCTATCAGGGTATACATCACGATTTGGTCTCGTCTACATCGATTTCAAGCACAAAACGCTCAAGAGGATTCCAAAAGAGTCTGCAAAGTGGTTTAAAACATTGCTAAAAAGGGATTAAGATATCACAAACTCTTATCTTTGGTTTTTTTTGCATATTAATTTCTTGCATATTTCCTTACCCATGTTGACTATGGAGTGTGGGAATGTGGTTAAGATCCTCCTCTATAAAGCATTTTCAAGGTGGTATGGAAATCTCCTTGTTGGAAGGAAGATTCTCAAGTGTAGAACTTTTTGGGGAATGGCTTTTTGTTCCATGGTGCACAATTTAGAATCAAGATTGACTTGGAACGTTTGGAAAAAGGATCCCATAGGCTTTCATCAGCTCCACGCCTCTCTTCCTCTCTTCAATCGTCTCGAGCGGTGGCGACATCTCGAGTCCACTGCCGGAGCTAGCAGCTGTGCCAACGTCAAGAAACCACTGCTCAAATCCGCCAGGGGCGTAAGTCACAAGCATCCGGGCAGGCTTGTCAAGCTCGTTGGCGAAAGTATGAGGCACAAGGCGGGGGAGATGAGCAAAGGAGCCGCGCTTGGCGTGGAAACGCTCCACCCCAATTGTCCAAGTTAGCTCTCCATCAAGAACATACCAGCTCTCGTCCTCCCGGGTGTGGATGTGGAGGGGAGGCCCAGCTCCCGGGGGAACCAAATCCTCGAACAAGGCATAGGAGCTTGCGGTGGTCTCGTTCGCTAGAACTTTGAGAGTGACAAGAACACCAAAAACCCAAAGGCTCAAGCCTCCACCTGGAATTCCAAGAAATGCTAGAGCTTCTCAGTGGATGAAAGCAGTACTACCTTCTTCCAGGACGCTGATTTTTGCTGGAGACAAAGCTTGGAAAAGGCCGCCATCAATTGCCACTCGATCCATGGAAAGCAGGAAAAAGAAAATCACAGGCCAAGATAGATTTGACCAAGCTTTACATTTTGGGGCTCTTGAGCAAATAGATATCTTAGTATATTCCGTGGCTATGGCGGGAGCAAGCGATCGGCCGCTGCGCGTCCTTTGCCTCCACGGCTTCCGGACGAGCGCTCGGATCATGGAGAAGCAAGTCGGGCTGGCGCGCTGGGGAGCGCCCGTGATGGATCTCTTGAAGCTGGTAAGCTCTTTGTTTGTTTGGGCGATCTCGAAAGAGAGCGTCGATTCGTTTCAACTGATCCGGGGCTTTTGTGCTGTTTGATCCGGAGAGCTACTTGGATGCCCCATTTCCAGCCGAGGGCCCGTCCACTGTCCAGGGATTTTTCGAGCCGCCCTTCTACGAATGGTATCGTACAAACAATGTGAGATTTTTCCTAAGCTCATTCAAACCATAGCTGGATCTTCTTCTTCCTCTTGGCTTCTCTTTTCTAGGATTTTACCGAGTTCTATCAAGTCGAGGAGTGTATCTCTTACATCTCCGATTACATGAAGTCGCACGGTCCATTCGATGGTTTGATGGGATTTTCACAGGTTTGGAGGAGCTCAAAGTGGGATTTTCACGAAGCGTTTTGCTTCTTTCAGGGGGCATTTCTCGCAGGACAACTAGCTGGATATCAGCGTTTGAAGGTGAATCATCGTAAAAGTTCTAAGATTGTTTCGCCAAAAACCTCTTTCTTTGCAGGAAGATCTTCTTCCTACGCCGATCAAGTTTGTGATCTTGATCGGCGGAGGTATGTCTGGATACAAGCCCATGTCGGCGGCTTACGACACTCCAATCAAGTGTCCTTCGCTCCACACAATCGGTAACGATGGATGATTCATGGCAAAAGCTCACCGATCGAGTGAAACGCTTTGAATCCACACAGGAAGGAAGGACTTTAATCGCCCGGCCGGGGAGACACTCGTGACAAAATTCGAGAACCCAGTGATCTTGAGGCATCCTCATGGTCATCGTGTTCCAGAGCTTGGTAAGATCAACATTTTCTTTGCTAGACAAATCTTCGTTCATGTGCTCTCTAGACAACGACTCCATCGCCGAATTTCGATCCTTCCTTCTAAAGATGCTGGCTTTGCGAGACGAAGACGAAGATCCAAAGGAGCATTTGGAAAAATCCACTTGAATGGTATCCACGCATCGTGGCCGTCCAAATTCAAACTTAGGGTTCTTAAAGTTAGGCGCCATTTCTTGTTGCTATGGGCATTTAGATTTGTATGAATGTTCTTAGAAAGCAAAGCCAGGATGAGATCGCCTTCTTCGCTCAGCTCATCCGATCGCGAGGCGTGGGCAGGGATCTATCCGAGGCGCTGCGCGTCCACTCGCAACTCCTTGGCTCGCCCCATCTCAGCAAGAACAGATTTCTCTCCAATCTCCTCGTCGAGATGTATGGAAAGTGTGGCAGCATTGACAGCGCGCGCGCTGTTTTCGATGGAATCCATGAGCCCAATAGCTTCTCCCACACGCTCATGGTCTCGGCGCTCGCGCACAACGCGCGAGTGGAAGAGGCGATGGCGCTGTTCTTGAGGATGGACGGCCGGGATGTCATACCATGGACGGCCATGATTGGTGGGTGCGCGATGGCGGGGGATCTTAAGCAGGCCAAGCACTTCTTTGATCGAATGCCACAATGGAACATCGTGTCGTGGAACGCGCTACTCCAGGCTTTTGCCACGAGTGGGGATTTTGCCAGTGCGATGGAAATCTTCGAAGCGATGCCGGAGAAAAACAACGTTTCCATCAACACCCTTTTGAGAAGCATGAACCAGCTTGGTTTTGGCGATTGGGCGATGACGATTTTCGAGAAAATGGAAAACCGAGACATCGTTTCGTGGACAGAGTTAGTATCGGCAAATGCCGCATGCGGGTATCTTGAGGATATGTGGCATATACTTAGAAAGATGCCACAATGCGACGTCGTTGCGTGGACCGCCGTGCTAGTGGGTTTTGCGGAAAACGGTAATTTGGAATATGCTAGGGCAGTGCACGAAAAGATGCCCCAGCGTGACAACGTTGCGTGGAACGCGATGGTCCAAGCATATGCCCTTCGAGGGCAAATAGAGGAGGCACGGCTCATGTACGACCGTACGCCCAAGCACGACGTTGTCTCGGCGACGCTCATGGTCTCGGCATATGCCCAGTACGGAGACGCCATAGAGGCTCAAAAGGTGTTTCGATCCATGAAGAAAACCAACGTTGTGTCTTGGAACGCAATGATCCAGGCTTACATCCATATCGGCGATTTGGAGGCCGCAAAATCGAGTTTTGATGAGATGCCACAGAGGGATGTCGTGTCGTGGAATGCAATGGTTGCGGTCTTTGCTCAGAATGAGCAGCAGCTCCAAATCGCGAGGAGTTTCTTTGATCGTATGCCGCAAACGAATGTGATCTCCTGGAACACGATCATGACGGCGGTCGCGAGCAGTGGACACTTGGAGGTCACTCTGGAGATCTTTGCGGGCATCCCACAGCGGAGCCTTGTGTCGTGGAATGCGATGGTCCAGGCGTATGCTCAAAACGGGCACATCGAACAAGCCCAGGAAACTTTTGATCTCATGTCGTGTAGAGACGTCTACTCGTGGAATCTGATCGTCGCCACTTACAACATGGTGAAGAAACTCGATCAAGCGACCAGGTATTTCATGGAAATGCCCGAGGCCAACTTAGTCGCGCAAACAAACATGGTTTCGGCGTATGCCCACAACGGACATCTCACAAAGGCCAGAGAGCTGTTTGATAGTATGAAGCAGCGCAACCTCCTTGCATGGACCACCATGCTCACGGGATATGCCCAAAGGGGGCATACCAGCGAAGCCTTTGAGCTCTTCCATCTCATGGGACTGGAAGGGATCGAGCCCGACGAGCTCGCATTCATCGCGGTTCTCACGGCACACAGCCATGTCGGACTCCTCAAAGAGGGTCTCGAGTGTTTCAAGTCGATGATCGGGGACAGGAAAGTCTCCCCAGTTCTCCAACACTACCACTCCATACTTGATCTCCTGGGCCGCGCGGGAGAGATTGTGGAAGCCGAGAACTTGATCTACTCCATGCCATTTCTCCCGGACGAGGTCTCGTGGACGATCTTGCTGGGAGCTTGTCGAGTCCACCGCGATTCCAAGCGAGCCAAAGAGATCGCAGATACGATGATGAATGTGGATCCATCAAAGGGCGCTTCGTACGTGCTCTTGTCAAACGCTGTTGTGGATCATTCCCGCCATCTATGATTGTAAATGCAAGAACTTTTTTAGTCAACGCACAGCGACTTAAAAAAGTCCCAAGTGTTTGACTTTTCACTGCTGGGTGGCCTGGTCAACTTATCCTCTGGCCGGCATTTGACTTTTAAGCTCTTGACCAAGTCTGGGTGGTGTAGTTGGTCATCACGCTAGTCTCACACACTAGAGGGCCCCGGTTCGAACCCGGGCCCAGACACTCCCTCTCGCCCACTTTTTTGTCGTCATGCCAGCTCAGCAACCAGCAGCCACCTAATTGACAAAGCTCCTCTTGCCTTGATTAAAAGCTTGGTTTCCCATTGATGCCAAGGCTGTTAGTTAAGCGACTTTGTCCACACGGTTTGTGGAGGATCCTTTCTGGGAATTAACCGGCTAGGAGTTCTAGTAGCGCTGTAGTTTAGTTAGCTAGCGTCGCGAGTCGCGATAAGAGAGAAAGAGAGGGAAAGAGAGGAAAGTATAGCGTTCTTTAGCTAGGGTTCTTACAATCTTCCATTCTTTCTTCCAGCTACTTGCAATTGGAGCGCTGGAGCGAATTGCCTAGCGCGATTTGGATGGGGCATTTGCAGGGATTTGTGTTCTTGATCGTCGCATTGCTTCTTCTTGCTCAATCCAGGGCCGAAATATTGTCCGGGCATGCCGATGTGCTCGTCGGGATGATTCGAAAGCCTTGCCAGGGCCGCATTGGAGAGTGTAGCGACGACGAATTCGAGCTGAGCTCGCCGCTACTCCGGCGCCTCCTCCAGCAGCGGCAAAAGCAGTACATCAGCTATGGCTCGCTCCAGGCCGATAGGGTTCCTTGCCCGCCGGGCTCCGGGCGCTCCTACTACACCAACAATTGCAACAGAGCCACCGGCGCGGCAAACCCTACGCAGCGCGGCTGCTCCACAATCACTCGCTGTCAGCGAGACACAGGCTAGCGGCGTCGCGGAATCGATTTGCGGAGGTATGGTGGGCGAAATTCCTTTCGATTGCTAGCTCTGGAAGAGAATTCTCTCTCGCCTCCTCTTCTATCTCCTATATCTTCTTCGATTCCTGGGTATGGCGAGGGAAGTAAAGATTCTTTGGGCTTGTACTACTGGCTGGCTTAATAATCTTCTTCACGACCACATTGTTGGAGATCGAGTGTGTCTATATGATCATACGTTCTTCTTCATCACTAATAAAGAACTCCTTCTTCGTTGTCTCGCTTGAAATTTCATAGCTCTTCTGGATCGATCGATTGATCGAGCGAGAGAAAGTTCTCGCTACCCGGCCGATCGATCTAACAATCCAACAACCAAGAGAGAGACGTTCTTCCTTTCACTCTCGAGCTAGTTTTTTAAGAAATGCGGGCCCTGGATTGTCAGCGCTAGTGGGTTGATCCATCCCATCCCACAGTCCCACTGCCAAGGGTTCTTCCACCACGAAAAACAAAGAAGTTCCAGTTCCCGGAACTCGAACCCGCGTCCATCCAAACGCTGGCTTTTTCTTTCACACTGCCAGCGCGGACGCCCTCTGACGCGTCAGCCACGCAAAGACCACGTCAGCACACCTTCTGCCCTACGCTGTTGTAGTGCTGGTTCTTCGAGGATCTGGGGCGTGGAGCGCTTCCCTCGCGGCGGCATTGCGTCGCGCTTGGAAATATGGAGCGGGGAGCGCGGATTTGAGGTCTTTGATGGCGCATCTGAGCTAGGTTAGAGTCGCGCGTCCAGGATCTGGCAGCGGGCGCTACAGCGGTCGCCAATTCCTGGCTCAACGTGGATGGAATCCAATGCAACTCCAGGGATTGTTTCGTCGCGGTGAGAGGCGGCATAGCGGCGTGTATGGCAGCAACGGATTGAAGAGCGCTGGGGAGGCTGCGGGTGGGGCGACAATGCATTTCTCCAAGCTGGAGGACTCTCCAATGTTTCGGAAACAGGTCAGATCAGCGAAGATTGTTTGCTCTCCTTTTCTAGTGTCGCTTTTTTTCTTCTTTTTTTTTTCTTCGTTTAGATCCAAGCATTGGAGGAGAGCGCCGAAGCATTGAGGGAGCGATGCCAGAAATTTTTCAAAGGCTCGCGCAAGTATACGTAAGCCCACTCTACCGAGTAACTGTGTTCCATGTTCAATCCGGTCTTTGTTTCTCTTTTTTTCCTACAGTGAAGGACTCGGTGAAGCGTACGATGGAGATATCGCTTTTGCCAGTGCTTTGGAAACATTTGGTGGCGGGCATGATGATCCCATTAGCGTCGCTGTTGGAGGTACTACGAGTGCTGTTCTTGTTGTAATCAGCTTAGTTCATTTTTTCTTTCGTGCTAGGTCCGGTTATGACGAAGTTTACCATTGCCCTGCGAGAGATTGGAACGTACAAAGAAGTTTTACGATCACAAGTAAGAGGTGCTGTTTTCTTGTGAACGACTGCCTTGTTCCATCTCATATTCTCATCGATGTATGATAGGTGGAGCATATGTTGAATGATCGGCTCGTGCAATTCGCGAGCATCGATCTGCAAGATGTCAAGGTTTTGCTTTTGAAGGGTATGTTAGATGGAACTGATGGTGATCGCTGCAGGATGTCAGAAAACGTTTTGACAAAGCAAGCCTTCACTATGATCAGGTTTGTACTTTGAGCGTTCTCCTTGTTGGTAAACTCATAATCCACCTGCAGGTCCGGGAAAAGTTCCTGTCATTAAGAAAGGACGCTAAATCAGATGTTGTGGCTGATGCGGAAGAGGTACATGTCTTTGTGCGGGAAGCTGAGTTCTAACTTTTTCTTTACTTCAGGATTTACGGACTGCCCGGACTTTGTTTGAGCAAGCTCGGTTTAATTTGGTATGTTTTCCCCGTTTATTAGCGAGGAGTTTTAAGCTGTGGTTGTATCAGGTTACAGCACTGTCGAACATTGAGGCCAAAAAGAAGTTTGAGTTCCTAGAAGCCGTCAGTGGCTCAATGGATGCACATCTTCGATACTTCAAGCAGGTACGTACGGTTCCTTAGAATTACTGGAGAACCAATTACCATATTTTTTAATCGTCAGGGGTATGAACTCCTCCATCAAATGGAGCCTTACATCCATCAGGTAAAATTTTTAGTTTTTTGTTCTATCTTTGAAGTTAAGTGGTTTTATCTAGGTGTTGACCTATGCACAACAATCAAGGGAGAGAGCAAACTATGAACAAGCAGCGCTTGCAGATAGAATGCAGGAGTATCGAAGACAGATGGAACGCGAGACTCAAAATGCTTCCAGCGAGCATGATGTTATAAGCGCTGCTGACGGAATTCAGGCCATTGGAAGGAGCTCCCACAAGTACATCGAGGCAGTTATGCAATCCGCATCACGGGGAAAGGTATGGGCAGCTTTCAACTTTTGTTCCTTCGTAACAGGTGTGGTGTCATTGCAGGTTCAACCTATAAAGCAAGGCTACCTACTTAAGCGTTCTTCAAATTTGCGTGGAGACTGGAAAAGGCGTTTCTTTGTTCTGGATAGCCGTGGAATGCTGTACTATTACCGTAAACAATGGGGCAAGCCCACTGTAAGAACTTCTAATGTAGGATTCTTTTGGTTCATACATGAAGCGTAACCTGACATCTTTTCGTGCAGGACGATAAAACCATTGCTCATCATACAGTAAATTTATTGACATCAACTATTAAGATGGACGCTGAGCAGAGCGATCTACGGTTTTGCTTTCGAATAATATCACCTTCGAAGAGTTACACGCTACAGGTAACTGTCTTCCACTCTATCGTTTTAGCTCTACTGTGTGTGTCTTCGACAGGCTGAAAATGGCATGGATCGAATGGATTGGATGGATAAAATCACTGGAGTGATTGCCTCTCTCTTGAATTCCCAGGTCACGGAACAGGTATGGTATTTTCACATTTGGTTTTTATTTACTTATTTATTTATTTGTTCCAGCCTAGAAGTCCATTGAACAACTTCCATCAGCGGTCGCCCAGTGAAAGCAGCTCCGTGAGTGCTTCCTCCGACTTCGAGCATTCTATCGGGGACGATATCAAGTTTTCCAGACGTGACCGCATGTACCATAACCTTGAGCTACAAGAACGGCCTCTAGACATATTGCGACGGGTTTCTGGGAACGAGTTTTGTGCGGACTGTGGGGCTGCTGACCCCGATTGGGCTTCCTTGAACTTGGGAATACTTATTTGTATCGAGTGCTCTGGTGTACACCGAAATCTCGGCGTGCATTTGTCAAAGGTACTTGGCGTTGATATAAACTTTTGTCTCTTATGTTTGTCGTGCAGGTGCGTTCCCTGACACTTGATGTCCGGGTGTGGGAGCCATCAGTAATTGGATTGTTTCAATCTATTGGAAACGCCTTCGCCAATTCAATGTGGGAAGAACAGCTTCCAAAGTGGGAAGGGGAACGTAGCCGGAACAACAAAAATGCCTTGACTGCGGGTTCTGCAACTGAGAGGTATAACCATCTCTTGTTTCCAAGAACAAGCTTTTCCATTGTTTGTCTTTGCAGAACCGATATGAAGGTGAAGCCGGATGCGAGGGATCCTTTGGCTGTCAAGGAGAAGTTCATCTTTGCGAAGGTAAGAACGGATTCAAACTATAGATGTTCACTGTGGAAATTGCAGTACGTGGAGAAGCGTTTTGTCGTAAAGATGAAGCTGGATCCTCGTGGTCCCAGCGTTGCTCGCCGAATCTGGGATGCAGTTCAAGCCAACAACAAGCAGTCAATCGTTCGTCTGCTTATCAACGGAGACGCTGATGCAAACACCACGTACGAACTCGCGTTTGAAACAACCGCTGGAAAACAAACAGTCAAAGGGGGGCCGAGTCCGAGTCCGAGCAGCAGCCTGGATTCACTCAGACTGTCGGAGGCGGCACCGAGCTCCATTTCGGGAAAAGCTGGAGCTCTCACACTCAGCAGTGACTCTGGAGTCGAAAATCTTCGAGGCCAGACACTACTCCAACAAGCTTGCCAGGTTGGGGACTTGAGCACGGTAGAACTTCTACTCCAACATGGAGCACAGGTGAACACCAAGGACGGAATCGGGAGAACTCCTCTCCATTTTTGCGTGGAGTGTGGAAGGAACTTATGTGCAAAGCTACTTCTATCCAGGTGAAACTCTTTCAATGGTTCTAGCTGTGATCTTACTGGCAGTTTTTCTTTCTCTTGTGTTTGTAGAGGAGCCAATCCCGCTGCTGTTGATAGAGCAGGGAAAACTCCATTAGAAGTAGCTATGGAGCTCGGGGCCGTGACAGACGAAGAGCTCTTCGTGATGTTATCAGAGTCGAGCCGTTGATGCTTGGTGTGCCGGTGATCCAACGGTGGAGAGTGTACAAGGTATATGCTTTTGAAAATATTCCCTCCCAGGGTGGCATATTCGCATGTGCTTCGCGCGAACACGCCGGCGGAAACCGTCCTCTTCTCGCCCGTACGTACGGGCCACCTCGCCACCACAAACGCAAAGTTTGGCCCCTAGTGGTGGCCAGGCCACTATTAGTGGCCATGGCGATCTCACTTAGAACCCTAAAAGAAGGCACAGGGAGAGAGAGAAAGCCCTTGCTCTTGGCGGATTCTGGCGCTCCGCGTGGAATGCTGGCAATGGCGCTGGCGCTCGGGATTTGGATTCCAATGTGAGTGCTCCGCATTGCCGCATTGCGGCATTCCAGCATTGGTCCGCTAGGAATCTCTCTCGAAATATTGCCTGATCGGGGTATTTGCTGTGGATTTTGCAGCGTCCAGGGCGGGCAAGGTGAGATCCGAGAGGGTTATGGTTTCCTGCGGTGATTCTTCCCAGCTATCGATTGGATCCTCGGCCGGATGACCGCCGCTGTGGTGTCAATGGCGGCAGTGCAAAGCGCTCCAGATATTTCCAGGACTCGTGCGTTTGCCTGTGGAGGGGCGGTGTTCTTCTCTCCCGGACCATCTTGCGCCAGCTGCAATGTGTTCTACAGTAGGAGTATGGTGTCGCATTTTGATGGGCTCAAGGCGGTGGGATTGGTAGGATCAAACAAGCTCGCGGCGACCAGGCATGAGATCAAGAGGATTGTTCCACGGAACAAACGGAAGGGGGTGATTGTGTGTGGGATGAACTTGGTCTTTGTTGCCGCGGAAGTTTCTCCTTGGAGCAAGACTGGCGGGCTTGGAGATGTCATGGGAGGCCTTCCTCCAGCCATGGCGGTAAGCGATTTGTTTCTTTTCTTTCCTTTTTTCTGCCTGTCCTCGTTTTCTTACGTGCACTATCAGCTGATTTACAGGCTCGTGGTCACCGCGTCATGACTGTTGCACCGAGATACGATCAATACAAAGATGCCTGGGACACAAGTACTACACTTGCGGTGGGATGTTTTGGTGTTCTTTGCACTTTTACGAGATTTTCTTACTTTTTTATAAATTTTATCACAGATTAAAGTTGGCGACAGGACAGAGATTGTACGCTATTTCCATGTCTTTAAAAGGGGTGTAGATCGTGTTTTTGTGGACCACCCATTGTTTCTGGCAAAGGTATTCGACGATTCCTTCACGAAAGAGACTATAGCTGAAAAGTAAGTGTGCTGGCAGGTGTGGGGGAAAACAGGTGGTAAAATCTATGGTCCCGAAGCCGGAGAAGACTATCACGATAATCAACTTCGATTTAGCTTGCTAGCACAGGTCTGTCCCCGTTCTGAAAGCAAAACTTGATTTTCTTTTAGTCTTTCAGGCAGCAATCGAAGCATGTCGTGTGTTGAATCTTACAGCCAATGAATATTTCAGCGGACCATACGGTAAGACAAATGCTTTTCTTGAACCTGTGTTGGTTTTTATCTGAGCTCTTACAGGTGAGAATGTAGTTTTCATTGCAAACGACTGGCATACTGCCGTGCTGGCGTGCTACTTGAAGGCCAACTATAAGTCTCGTGGCATGTTTGCCTCTGCTAAGGTTTCTTTACAAGGCTTACATGTGTTCTCTGAATTCTAAAATAACGCCTTCGTATTCAGGTAGCGTTTTGTGTACACAACATTGCCTATCAAGGCAGGTTTGCCTATCAAGACTATGACTTGCTGAATCTTCCAGATGAATATGAGGAGTCCTTCGATTTTATCGACGGGTAAGACTTATCATTCTTTTCTATCCTCCTTTGTTTCTTCTGAAGTACAAAACATTTCCTTTCAGCTACGACAAACCAGTTAAGGGCCGGAAAATTAACTGGATGAAGGCTGGCTTTCTTCATTCAGACATTGTTCTTACTGTCAGTCCAAACTATGCTCGCGAGCTGATTTCTGGCCCCGAAAAAGGAGTGGAACTGGACGACATAGGCAGGAAAACCTGTATATGGGGCATTGTGAATGGGATGGACGTACAAGAATGGGATCCCTCTGCGGACAAGTTCCTCGCCGTCCGGTATAACTTGAACACGGTATGGATTCAGCTTGTCATGGTCTTGGAAATGCTCACATTGTGCAATATATACAGGTCTCGGAGGCAAAACCACTGTTGAAAGAAGCGTTGCAGGCCGAGGTTGGCCTGCCTATAAACCCGGACGTCCCAGTTATTGGCTTCATTGGAAGGCTAGAAGAGCAAAAAGGGTCAGACATACTTGCAGAAGCAGTGGCCGATTTTATAGACGAAGACGTGCAACTGATTGTGCTGGTTTGTAGTTTTTTCATGGTATTTGCAAGCCTGCTTATGCGTGTGTTGGTACAGGGTACCGGGAAGAAAACATATGAAGAGCAGCTGAAGCAGTTGGAAATCAATTATCCCAACAAGGTTCGGGGGGTGGCCAAGTTCAACGTTCCTTTGGCACACATGATCACCGCCGGGGCAGACTTCATGATTGTTCCCAGCAGATTTGAGCCATGCGGACTCATCCAGCTTCACGCAATGCGATATGGAACGGTAAGCGCGTTAACCGAAGACTTCTCTCCCTTCCAAGTTCCTTCTTTACAAGTGTGTATAGCTGAGCGAAATGGTCGTCGTTTAGTTTAGAATGGGAGGAATCGTTTACTTCTAGCGCTCTAATGCATAGTTTTTTATATATGCAGATACCTATAGTCTCATCCACAGGCGGTTTGGTTGATACTGTCAAAGAAGGTTTCACAGGTTTCCACATGGGTGCGTTTAACGTTCACGTAAGAAAACTCTCAAACTCTTTTTTCTTTCTTTATTTTTTTCCCTCCAGTTTGCAACGCTTGAGTTACATGCATGCAGTGCGACACCATCGATCCTCTCGACGTTGTTGCGCTCGCAGCGACAGTGAAGCGAGCGACCCGAGCGTACAAGACGCCGAGCTTTCGCACCATGATCCAAGCTTGCATGTCACAGGATCTGTCATGGAAGGTATTGTTCTTGGCTCTCTTTTTCTTTTCTTTTTTTCTTGCTCGATTCAGCGTGAGTTCTATCAGGGTCCTGCGAGGAGATGGGAGGAAGTGCTTCTCAACCTTGGAGTGGAAGGCAGCCGTGCAGGCCAGGAGGGAGAGGAGATTGCTCCTCAGGCAAAATATAATCTGGCCACTCCATAAAGAAAATCATTTGGAACATTCATATCCTTTGGAAACCATGTGCTAACCCCACATAGTATATATATATACTCTGACTAGATCCAAGGTAGCTGAGAGATAAAAAATCATCTTCTATACTCTAATATACACTGACTATATCGTTGATATCCTCGATCAAAAATCGTCTTCTATGATTGGCTTGTTGGTCGATTGTGGCAAAAATGGTGGAAAGGTTGAGAGGACTGAGATGAAGGCGGTTGCGCCCAGGAAGAAGAACAAAAGCTGGTCGCCTGTAACAAAGCGGGAGATTTTTAATCAATCAACCAGGAGTGAGATGAAGTGAAATTGATCCAAACCATACCAGGAAGTATTGATGCATGGGGGCGAGTTTGCGCAAACGCAAAACTAAAAATCGACACGGATACACAGTTTAGTTTAAAGCCATGAACGTGTTTCTTCCTTTCTAAACTTACACTGAGCCTCCGACCGCTGGTCCCAATGCTCTGAAGAGGGAAACGACGCTCAGGGAAAGACCATTCGCAGCTCCTCGCTGTGCTTTCACCTGGAAAAAAGCTTTGCGTTTTGCAGAGGCGAAAAGAATGGCAATCCACTTACAACGGAATTGTTGACTAGGAGGAAGGCCGCGGTTGAGGCCGCCGACTGGAAATGCAAACTCTCAGCCAAACTGTGCCATGAATCATGCTAAGGATACTCACGCCAAGGCAGCACTTGAGTATGGCTATTACAGTCACAACAACTCGCAGCCACGTATCTTCGAGGCTTGTTAGAGACGGCAGCAAGACCAGTAGTGGTATTGACAATGCCTGCACGAGTTTCACACAGTTGAGACACCGAGAAAAAGGAGAGAGTTGAAGAACTCACGGTTACGGCGCGCGTTAGGAGAATGGGACCAAATAACCTGGTAAGTGATGGAAATATAACAAGCTGAAAGAACAGCAGCGCTAGACCTGTAAACGAAGAAAACTTACGGATGTTTCCACTTTGTTTGTTGTAACCATACCCGAGAGAGCGAGCGCTTGTCCAACGTCTGTACTCGTCCAGCCGAGACCACCCGTGCGTTTGGGACTCACTGCCCACAGGGAGAATGTCTGCACGGAATTCCATGAGAGTGGTACAGGCACTTCGACCCACCTCCGAAAACGCAATGTCGTGGAACGCCCAGATGCAGTACACTAAAATGGAAGATATCAATGGAAAGTTTTTCAGCAGGGACTCCTTAGGATCATAGGCTCCAGCTTTACCGTCGTTTGCAAACACTTCGTGCTTGTGAAGTGTTTCCTGCCACAAGCAAAGCTCGTTTTTGGTCCAAGCCAATGGATAAGACAGAACTTACAGGTAGCTGGGCGAGTTGGGCGAGCACCATCACCGCATAGATGGTAATAACCAGAGCTTGGAGGAAATATGGGTAGCTGCAACTTCCTCTTAGCCCCTCTCAGTTTCATCTGGAAAATGTTCCTCACCTATCAAAAATGGTGCCAGCAAAAACTCCAGGATACTTTATAGCGGGCTGGACCAACAAAAAATTATCATAAGGTGATTGACGTAAATACACAAAGGTGGAGGAGACCTGTGACAAGTAGCCCCCCAATGCGGGACCGAGTATAAGTCCAACTCCCCACATTGATCCGACCTGTGTAAGTGGATCAAACGCAAAGAGATTCACCATTAATGTTTGTCTCTCTAAAAGGCGAATCACTTACAAGTGACACGCTGAAGGGAACGTGTTCTTCGCTGCAAATTTCAGTAGCATAGGCCTGAAATAGATAGCACTCAATTAAAGGAAACCAAGGCTCCAACGAGAATTACCGTCATCGTTCCAAGCAGCCCATTGAAAGTTCCCAGCAGGAAACGGGTCGTCAGAGCCATCCAGAAACTTTTACTCAGCCCAAACAATGTGTTGAAGACAATGCTGCAGAACACACACAAGAGCGATTTAATGAGGTTCTTGTCTTGATTCTCATCAAGACGATAAACGAACACCTAACATTGACATGATTCCGCAGAAGATAACGGGTTTCCTGCCGTATTTGTCGGCGATAGTTCCCCACAAGATTCCAGTAAGAGCTCTTCCAGCCATGAAAGACGAGCCTGGAAGAGAAATCAATGAGCAAAAATGGATCGGGAAGTTTACAGCACGAACCGATCCATCCAGCAAAGTATCCGATATCAGCATCCGACTTGGTCACATGAAAGTCCTGAACCTGCAAAGAGGAAACTTTCTCAAGCCGACAGAAGTAGCAAGAAACTGAGAGATCGATACTGACCATGAAGTACAAGAACGGGAAGATGACGGCAATTGGCAGCGCTGTTGCAAACGATCGTAAAACCCTGCTTGAAACAAAAGAGAGAGAACATACAGTTGCAAAGCATCATGTTGGCCACAATGAAGAGAAGCTTTTTCGGAAAACCATGATTTTCTCTGACGATGAGGATGGCCTTGCAGCCGGGGCATCCTTCTACAGACCCGGAGAAGCTTTTCTCTTCGTCCAACAACGGGATCTCGGCATCAGCCATCGAAGAGAAAGACAGAAGCTCAAAAGAGCTAACAGCACCCCAAATTTAAATTCCTGAAATTGTTCCGGTGACGATAAGGCCACTCGCCACGCCGCTACAAACAAAGCCAAATTCCATGTCAACCATGTGATTCTTCCTGCGAAACTCCCTACCATTTCGTAAATTTAGTACCACGTAAAGATGAGACAACGAGGTCTCAGATACGTTGGTTCTACGTCTGCACACGACGACACCCGAGGATCATGTCATCAGAAGAACTTTCACATACAGGACAAGCGCTTACCGCATCTCGGGTACCATAGAAGTGGGGTGCAAGCTCTGGAAGCCACAGAGAGTCGATCCTCGTCACATTTCTAATGAACTGTTTGTTCGTCTTCACCAGCTCATTGAAAACGACGCAATCCAGCTTCTTCCCATGCATTATTGAGGAGGGATGGATGGAAACAACTTGAGTGTTTGCCAGCGTTCTGAGAGCAATCCTCCACCACTTCATTAAGAATTGAGACGTAAGAAGAAAGAATACCTGTAGGTACCATCTTGCTGTAGACAGGCTGCATTTAAAAAGAATGCGGCTGCCAAACACCTGCGAAAGCTGGTGAAGTCCTCTCCACATGAAACCACAGGCAGGTTAATTGCTTGTATGCAACCTTCGATTTGCCTGGAATCAAAAAAGTTACGACTGCATCTGCTTGAAACAACCGGTATCATACCTATAGATATCCACGGCACGCTTTAGAGAACGCATATTGATATAGTTCTCGATGCACCACCGAAGGATTTGCTTCTTCGAAACCACGCCGCCTCCGCTCTTATTTACTTCATCTGTAAAGGCGCGCATAACACTGACAAGAGTTATGTGGTCACCGTCTCCGCTCAAAAATCGTTGTTTTGCAGCATCCGCCTGGAGTTATTCAATTCAAGTGTTTGAGAGGTGCCTGATTGTCGTTCGTAAGGACCACTTACCTCTTTCTTTTTATCTTTTGGTACGAAGAAGATTGACTCGACAGAAAGCATTGCGACAGCGGATAGCATCTCTTTGCTACAATTAAAGTTTGCTGAGATGAGTAAGGCTTTTGCGTAGAGAGGCTCCAGAGGCAGGCGAGCCATCTGGATACCAACTGGATCTGAAAGCTTTCCCTCGTCTGTCAGTGCTCCCAATATATATAAGTGTTCGAGGGACTTCAATATGGCCATCCTGCGGCACGAGAAAAACGCGCCTAGTCTGGAGCATTACATTGGTCGTGGCTAGCTTACTTTGGTGGTTTGTCCATGAAATCGAAGCCGAGAACATCGTCAATACCCAGCGCCTTCAACTGCAACACGACGCTAGCAAGATTGCACCGCTTGATTTCAGGAACAGTAGCGTTCTCGAGCTGCTTGAATGTCTCCTCCATATACAATCTGTAGCACTTGCCAGGTCCTTCTCTTCCTGCACGACCACTGAAGCATCCTGTTACTAGGAAAAGCAAATCTAGTGACATGGTAGACCAACCTTCGCTGAAGAGCTTGCGCTTTTGATACCGGCACAACTATCAACGACTCCAGACCGATGCGAGGATTGTAGGACCGGGACTTTACTAGACCAGGATCTACGACGTAGCGTATTCCTGGAATAGTTACAGAAGTTTCTGCAATGTTGGTGGCTAAGATAACCTGCAAGACACCTTTAGCAAAATGCCTCTCGTGAAAAATAAGACTCACCTTACGGGTTCCAGGTGGTGCTGGAATAAAAGCTTTAACTTGCTGCTCACTGGGTAAAGCAGCATATATAGGAACTACTTGAATTTTTAATGATCCTGGAGGGAGGCGTGGCAGTCGATCGTGTATCAGCCTATCCATAGACTCGATCTCTTCTTGTCCCGTCAAAAAAACAAGTATATCTCCTGGTTCTTCTTCCGTATGAATCTGAAATCTCACAGAGATAACTGGAAAAACTAAAACGACTGAAAACGAACCTGGAGCAACGTTATCAATGACGCATCCAAGATGTCTGCTTCGGACGTAAAAGTGTAGAAGATTTCCACTGGAAACTGCCGTCCTTGTATGTAGACTATCTTCGCATTGTTGAAAAAAGCTGAGAACCCTTGCGCGTCAAGCGTAGCTGACATAACAATAAGCTTGAGCGATTCTTTCTTTGGTCCATGCTCCTCTGTGCGTTTAGCTTGGACGCCTTTCAAAAGTCCCAAGAGAACGTCAGTATGTACTGTTCTTTCGTGAGCTTCGTCTATTACAATTACGCCATACTTTCGAAGCAAAGGATCAAGCAGAGCTTCCCTGGAAAGAGTAAAACTAGAACGCAAGAAAAAAAAACAAAAAAAAAACTGAGAACTCGAAAGAACCTGAGGAGCATTCCGTCGGTCATGTACTTGATCCTCGTTAAGTCGGACGTCGCGTCCTCGAACCGGATCGAGTATCCAACTTCACGTCCCAGCTCGCTTCCCATCTCTTCCGCAACACGAGTAGCCACAGTAACAGCAGCTACTCTCCTCGGCTGCGTGATTCCAATCATTTTTCCACGCTTGGAAAAGCCGGCACGAAGCAAGAACTGCGGAAGTTCTGCGAACAGGAACTATAGTAAGTCAAGGAAAACGAGAAGTTTCTCCACTTACGCGTAGTTTTTCCACTTCCAGTCTCACCGATGATCACAAGAGTATCGTTCTTGTGGACCTCGTCCACCAATTTCTGCCGAGCTACGCAAAACGAGCAATGTGTCGTGTACGAGAGAACGGAGAATAGAAATTTCTACCGATTGTGATAGGAAGCGCGCGCCGCTGCTCCTCGATCGATTTCCTCCTGGCACTAGCTTGCTGCGAATGCGGCGCGATAGCATTGCGCTGCTTGAATCGGCCGGGCGATTTGGACGCCGCCATCGACTTCTCTTAGAAATGGCGGCGTCTTCCCTAGAACCCTAAAATTTCATTTGTCCTACGTGGCGAGGCTTTACACGTGGCCAGTATTTGAATGGTCTTGCGGGGGTTTCGTCGCTTTTCTTCCCAAGCTCCTCAAGCTCTCTCCTGGGATTCATGGATCGAGCTAGCGAGGCGATGCAAGACGCTAGAAGAGGGCAAAGATCTCCACGCCGCCATCCCCTCGATCGCCAGCAACAAGAGCGCCAATGTCTTCCTCCACAATTTGCTCATCCAGATGTACAGCCGCTGTGGCAGCCTCGACGACGCCATGGCCGTCTTCGATTCCCTGCTTTGCCCCAATTCTTTCTCCTGGACAATCACGATCTCGGCGCTCGCGCAGCATGGCAATCACACCAGCGCGATCCACTTCTACCGATCGATGCTCCTCAGCGGCGCAGTGGCAGACGAGGTCACACTGGTCGCCGTCTTGGACGCCTGCGAAGATCTCCACACGGGCAATGCCATCTTCGCCAGTGTATCGGGCGAGCCCAGGATCATCGCCCACACCAAGGTACGCAACGCCGCGCTCACCATGTATGGCCGCTGCGGCGATCTCGCCATGGCCTGCGCGATCTTCAAAGAAATCCCCGCCAAGGATGCGATCTCCTGGAACAGCATGATCACTGCCTATGCCCGAAATGGGCATCTGGAGGAGGCCGAGAAGATCTTCGATTCCATGCCCGTGGCAAATGTTGTGTCCTGGACTGCAATGATCGCCGGGAACGCGCAGCACGGCCGATCCGCCCAAGCATTCCAATTCTTCCGGAGGATGATCCTCCAAGGCGATCCAAATTCCCGGCCAAACCAAGTGACCCTCCTCGCGATCTTGGACGCTTGCTTGAGCTTGACGAGCAAATCCGCCATAGCTACCGTACGGGGTCTCGAGGCGCTAGCGGCAGAGTCAATATTCCATGGGGACATGATGGTCAACAGCGCGCTGGTCAACGTGTACGGTAGCCTCGGGAGCGCCCCAGATGCCCGGAGGATATTCCAGTCAATGCCGGACCGCAACGTCGTCTCCTGGAGCTCCATGGTCGCCGCGCTGGCCAAGTGTCAACGCAGTGGCGAGGCCATGGCGACGATGAGAGCGATGGAGCTGGAAGGGATCAAAGCGAGCAGCGTGACGCTCCTAGCAGCGATCGAGGCCTGCGAGAGCTCCGAGGATGCGGGAAGAATCCACGCTAGGATCGTCCGCGATGGCTTCGAGGGCGACACCAAGCTGGGCAATGCGCTCGTCAGATTGTATGGCCTCAAGCTGGGGATGATCGATCGAGCTCTAGAGGTTTTCGATCGGATCCAGCGCAAGGATGCCGTCTCCTGGGGGGTCGCGATTGACGCCTGGGCGGTCAGTGGATTCCCGCGAGAATCCCTCGTGATCTTCGCGCGCATGGATCTGGAGGGAGTCTTGGTCGAGGAGGTTTCCTTCACTCTGGCGATCGATGCCTGTGCGGCGATCCCCAGCCTGGAGCGCGGACGAATGCTTCACCGAGAGATGATCGAGGGAGATCGCTGTGGCGTCGAAGAAGATCTCCGCCTCGGCAATTCCCTGATCAACATGTATGTCAAGTGTGGGAGCATTCCAGACGCGAGAGCCGTGTTTGATTCCATGCCCGAGCGCGACGTGATCTCCTGGACCGCGATGCTCACTGCCTACATTGAATCAGAGGAAGCAGCGCTAGAGATCTTCCAGGCGATGAAGCTCGAGGGAATTCTCCCAAACCAAATCACTTTCCTCAACCTTCTGGCAACGTGTAGCCACGCGGGAATGCTACAAGACGGCCACCAGAATTTCCAGAGTATGATCGTGGATTTCTCGATCCCAGCCTCTCCAGATCACTACATCTGTATGATCGATCTCCTCGCGCGGTGTGGGAGACTGGAAGAAGCCGAGAATCTCATCGATGAAATGCCTTACGAACCGGATCCCGTGGCTTGGACGACGCTGCTGGGAGGAAGCCGGATCCACGGCGACCGCTCCAGGGCCAGTGAATCCGCACGTAGCGTCTGGAAATTCGAGGCGCAAGCTAGGCATCCTGCGAATTACGCGCTGCTATCGCACGTCTACGAGGAAGAGTCATAGGATCTTGGAAGAACCCTAATTTCAGTGGGGGGAATGCCGCGATTTGAATAGATGTTGGCCATTAGCGTGTAGGCGGCAGCAAGGGTTCCATCCTCCTCGCTCCCAAGGCTCAGCTCCCGGATCGCATCAAATGCGCGCCTCCCGATCGCTACATTCTTCCTGTTGTGACAGGCGCTGAGCACCGCCATCCAGATCGCGAGGCTCGGCGTGAGATTTCCAGGCATTCTTTCGATCACGGCTATGGCTTCCTCGACCTGATTGGCACGGCTGAGGAGATCTACCAGGCAAGTGTAGTGCTCCATCCTCGGCGCGATCCCGTGCTGGACGCTCATCACCCGGAAGAGATTCTTGGCTCGCTCGACGAGCCCCAATCGACTACACGCCGAGAGGAGCGATAGTAGCGTGATCTCGTCGGGGCGGATCGATTCCTGGAGCATCTGGCGGAAGAATCGAAAGGCGTGTTCTTCGCTGCCGACGCAATGGCTGTGCGCGGCGATGAGAGCACTCCAGGGGGCCATGTCTGGGCTAGAGAAAGCGTGAAACGCCAGCTCAGCTGCCACCGGGCAGCCACATCGGCCGTAGTGGCCAATCAGAGAGCAGGCCACTGCTGACTCAGCCTCCACGCCAGCGCGGCATACCAGAGAATGGACGACGCTCTTTCCTGGCTCGAGGAATCCACTGTTACTACAAGCCTTGATCGCAGCAATGAAAGTTCCAGCGTCTGGAGTGAATCCTCGAGCTCTCATTTGATCCAAGAGCTCGATCGCAAGCTTGGGAGAAGCTCCAGCTTCCGCGATGCCCAAGGTCATCACGTTCCAGGAGACGAGAGTGTGGCGCTGCATCCTCTGGAAGATCGCCCGGGCTCTCTCCAGCTCCCCAGATTTCACGTAGAGATCGAGCAGACTGTTCTGGAGGAATTCGTCGTTGTCAACTTCTGGAGTGGTGGTGATTTGCGCTGCTCTCGCTAGACACCAGGATCTAAGCTCTCGATCGGCGCTGTTCTTCTTCACAAGGCTGGAGCACGCATTGATAACCGCGACGAAGGTCCGTGCGCTTGGAGAGATGGAGCTCTCTCGTTTGATCATTCGATCGAAGAGCTCGAGCGCAAATCTGGGCTGGTCGTTGTGGACGTAGCCGAGGATGATCGAATTCCACGAGACCAAGTCGGCTAGATTGTAGAGGAGGAGCCGATCAAACAGGCGCTGGGAATCGGGCATGCTTCCACATCTCGAGTAGCAATCTATCAGGCTGTTGGCGATGAAAACGTTGGATTCAAAGCCGGCATCCACGATCCAGGAGTGGAGAGCCATGGTTCTCTCAAGGGAAACGATCTTGATGACTAGTGCCCGGCCTTGGATCTCGATTTTCATCCCAGCTTCCCTCGCGGTGAGATCTTTGATCGCTTCCAGCACAGCGACGCAGCTCCTAGCATTCATCGACGGCATTGCTGAGAACATCTCCAGAGCGATCTCGCCCTGGCCATTGCTCGCGTAGCCGCCGATGATCGTGTTCCAAGAAACGATGCTGTGGATCTTGATCGCTTCAAACACGTCGCGAGCGTCGGCCATGCTTCCACTCTTGGCGTACATGTCGATGAGGCTGTTCGCGAGGATGAGCGCTGCCTTGGAGCTCTGGCGATCGCGCTGCTGGAGCAAGCGAGCGTGGATTGCCCTGCCGCGATGGAGATCCCTAGAGCGGCCGCAGGATTTCAGTGCCGCGACGATGGCCGCGGTTTCTTGCTCGGATGGGGAAAGATCTAGCGATGGGATTGCTGGAGAGCTAGAACAAGAATCCGCCATAGCCTACCTCTCGCCGGCATTTCCCTCGAAATATTTCTAGGGTTCTTGAGAGATTCCTCAATGAGGCGGCTCCACGCGCGCCTCTCCAATGTCCTTCGATCCCGAGCGCATTCTTCTTCCCCCGCGATGGATCTTGCGCCATTACCAGCGCCAGCGCCATCGCTCCAACAGCAGCAGCAGCAGCATCAGGACGAGAAAATGGCCAGGTATTCCATCAATTCCAGGATCATCCTCGATCTCCTCAAGAATGCCAAGCGCGGCGAGAGCATGGACGAGATCATGAGACAGTGGAGCGGCTTGCTCACGACCTACGTCGTGGCGGATGTTCTCAAGCATCTCCCGAGCTCCGAGGCGGCTCTCCGGTTCTTCGAGTGGGCACCCAAGCGAATGGGCTACGAGCACAACGTCTTCACGTACAACAAGCTCCTCCTCCAGCTGACGAGAGAGCATCGCCACGACAAAGCCAGCGCCGTGTTCCAGGAGATGATCGACAAGTCCTGCCAGCCCGATGCCTTCACCTTTGCGATTCTCTTGCGGGGACTTTGCCGATCCAACCAGCTCGAGAAAGCTCGCCAGCTCCTGGGAAGAATGAAGGAGATGGGGTGCGTTCCAGACGATGCCATCTACAATGCTCTCATCTCCGGCTACTCCAAGGCCAAGGATTTCGGCCAAGCATTCAAGTTCCTGGCCGAGATGGTGAAGAACCATTGCCTTCCAACGGTGGTCACGTACACGAACATCGTGGATGGGCTTTGCAAGGCCGGGCGGACCAAGGACGCGGTGAAGTTACTGGATGAGATGCGTGACAAGGGATGCTCTCCGAACATCTATACTTACAACGTGATCGTGGAGGGGCTTTGCGAGGAGAGGAAGCTGGACGAGGCCAAGAAGATGCTCGAGGAGATGGCTGTGCGAGGATACTTTCCAGACGTCGTGACTTACAACTCGTTCATCAAGGGACTTTGCAAGTGCGACCGAGTGGACGAGGCACGAAAGTTTCTGGCGAGGATGCCTGTGACTCCCGACGTCGTGAGCTACACCACGGTGATTAACGGGCTTTGCAAGTCCGGGGATTTGGATTCAGCGAGCAGGATGCTGGATCAGATGACCAACCGTGGCTGCACTCCCGACGTTGTCACGTACTCCTCGTTGATAGACGGGTTTTGCAAAGGTGGCGAGGTGGAACGAGCCATGGGTCTTCTAGACTCGATGCTGAAGCTCGGGTGCCGGCCAAACATGGTAGCTTACAACTCGCTGCTCGGGGCTCTCCACAGGCTGGGACATATTGGCAAGGCTGAGGACATGCTAGTCGAGATGGAGAGGCGGGGATTTACTCCAGACGTGGTTTCCTACAACGCTTGCATTGACGGGCTTTGCAAGGCGGAGCGAGTGAAGAAGGCCAAGGCCGTGTTTGACAGGATGGTGGAGAGGGGCTGTACGCCCAACGCCTCGAGCTACAGCATGTTGGTGGAGGAGCTTTGCAAGAAAAAGGAGCTTGACGATGCTATAACTCTGGTGGAACAAGCTCGCGAGAAATATCAGATTGTGGACATTCTTCTTTACACGGTGCTGCTGGACGGGCTTTGCAAAGGTGGTCGATTCGACGAAGCTTGTGCGCTGTTTAGCAAAGTTTTGGACGAGAAGATCTGCGAGCCGGACGTGTTCTTCTACAACGTTATGCTCGACAGTCACTGCAAGCGCAGGCAGATTGATAAAGCTCTCCAGATTCACAAGCAGATGCTAGAGAGGAACTGCTGCAACGTCGTCACCTGGAATATTTTGGTTCATGGACTGTGCGTGGACGACAGGCTCTCAGATGCGGAGACGATGCTTCTGACGATGGTGGACGAGGGATTTATTCCGGACTTCGTCACGTATGGGACACTAGTCGATGCTATGTGCAAATGCGGAAAATCTGCGGCCGCTCTAGAACTGTTTGAGGAGGCAGTAAAAGGTGGATGTGTGCCGGATGTTGTCACCTACAGTGCTTTGATCACGGGGCTTGTCCACGAGAACATGGCCGAAGAAGCATATCTGCTCTTCACGAAACTTGTCGAGCGACGCTGGGTGCCGGATGACAAAACGCTCGGCCTTCTTCACAGGAAGCTGAAGCTGTTGAACAAGCCAAGGAAGGCGGAGGTGGTGGACTTGTACTTGACCACTTGACGAACAGGAGCTCTCGAATCCAAAACTGGTGAGTTTGATTGTTGTAACATTGTGAGTTTTCTTTGTTTTCCAACTCCTGCTTTCATTTCAGTGGGGGATGGATGTCATGGCTGCGGCAACGTTCCTATCTGCCACAATCCAGGACTCTCAAGTGAGCAAGGCTCAAGAAGAGCTTCAATGGCGTCAATTGTTTGAAGACCCATCTCTATGGTGGGACAACAGGAACCACAACGTAAGTGCTTCTGTATTGTTTTCTTAGTTTTCATGGGATGGGTCTTTACTGCAGCTACATGGTTCGCAGCACGATTTCAAGCACGCACAATCAGGTGCCACGCTCACGATTGCTTCCTCGTTTTGTCCAAAATGGGCAAAGCTCGGCCTCAAGTGCTTGAAGGTTTCAAATTTCAAAGCCCGAGCACAGTACAGAGATGGTGAGGAGCCTATCTTTGAGAAGAAAACTCAGAGCACTGACAGTGACGGTACCAGGCAGAGTAAAAGTCGCTCAAATCAACATCGCGAGAGCGTCTCCAGCCTAGTAGCCGCATTGAAAGCCTGCACTGGCTCGAGAAACTGGGCTCGGGGCATGAAACTTCATGCGGTTGCTGTGGAAAATGGAAAGGACTCCAACATCTTCGTGGCAAGCTCGTTGGTCGGCATGTACTCGAAGTGTGGACGCATGGAGGATGCCCGGAAGGTGTTTGACGGTATGCAGAAGCGGGATGCAGTGTCCTGGAACACTGTGATACTTGGCTATGCTGAAAATGGTGACGGAGAAACAGCACTGGAACTCTTTGAGAAAATGCAAGCAGAAGACCATTTGTCACCGGACTCTTGGACGATTGTTTCTGCACTGAAAGCTTGCTCCAGCCTGGCTGCGGCAGAAAGATCAAGGGAAGTTTTTGGAGAGCTTGTGAAGATTCAGACTCTGGAGAAAGGAATGGCTGTTCACAGCTTGGCTTTGAAGAACAGGTGTGACTCGGACAGATTTGTGGCCAGTGGCTTAGTGGACATGTATTCGAAGTGCGGAAGTCTATCATCTGCTCGGGCAGTCTTCGACGGTTTCTCCGACAAGGACGTTGCTCTGTGGAACGCAATGATCCTTGGATACGCAGAAAATGGAAGTGGTGACCTCGGGTTGAAGCTGTTCGTGGAGCTGATAGAATCAGATGTCGAGCCGAACGCTCGGACTTTCGTAGCAGCTCTCAAGGCCTGCACTGATCTTGCAGCGACAGAACAATCTAGAAAGTTTGATGGGACGCTTGTGAAAGCTAAAGCTCTGGAAGAAGGATTGGCCTTACATTCTCGGGCAGTGGAGAAACAGCTCGAAGCAGACATCTTCGTGAGCAACATGCTGGTCGATGTGTACGCGAAGTGCGGGAGCATGGCACTTTCGCGTGGAGTTTTTGACAGGATGCGGACTCACGACGTGATTTCGTGGACCGCACTGCTCTCAGGCTACTGTGACAATGGTGAAGAGGAGGAGGCACTGGAGCTGATCTCAAGAATGCTGCAAGATCCTGGAAGGTGTTCTCCAAATGCTCGAACGTTTGTGGCAGCATTTAAGGCCTGTGCGAACTTGGCAGCAAAAGAAGATGCCCAGGTAGTCGCAGGAAAGCTGGTGAAGATGGTTTCACTGGAAAGAGGGACGGCTCTTCACGTTGAAGCAGCAAAGTCCGGCTTTGCCTCGGACCTTTTCGTGAGCAACACTCTGATCGACATGTACGCGAAGTGTGGTGCTCTTGAAGCTGGCCGCAGTGTTTTCGAGCGCATGAAAATCCGAGCTCCGGCATCTTACAACGCACTGATGCTGGGATACGTCGACAGTGGTGAGGCCGAAGAAGCTCTGGCGCTGTTCGAAAGAATGAGCTGCGAACCAGATGCGCGAACTTATGTGGCTGCTCTCAAGGCGTGCACCATCCTCGCATCCAGGGAACAGGGCAAAGAAATCAGTGGCAAGCTTGTCAAGGCGGAGTCACTTGGAAAGGCCAGAGGTCTTTTCGATCGGGCTGTGAAAGGTGGATTCTTTCCGGACTTGTTCGTGGCCAACACTCTGATCGACGTCTTCGCAAAGTGCGGCGACTTGGAAGAGGCTCGCAGGATCTTCTACTCGATGAAGCAGCGAGACGTGGTATCGTGGAACGTCTTGATGCTCGGCCTGGCCGAGAGAGACCAAGGCAAGCTAGCTCTCGAGCTCTTCGAGGAGATGAAGTCACAGGCTCAGTGTGATCCCGACTCCAGGACTTACGTCGCAGCTCTCAAGGCCTGTGCAAGCGTCGGGGCCTTAGAGATGGGACGAGCTCTCCACGAAGTCATCCGCGAGCTCGGCCTGGACGAGAGCGATGGGATCCTCGCAACCAGCCTGGTGGATTTCTACAGCCGATGCGGGAGCATGAGTGAAGCTCGCGAGGTTTTCGACTCCATCAAAGCTCCCAAAGACGTGGTGGCTTGGAACTCGCTGCTCGCCGGCTATGGCAGGCAAGGTGGCGGAGACAATGCAACAGGCACGATGCTGGACGTGTTCTCGCAAATGCGAGAGCGAGGAGTGAAGCCAGTCGGGATCACTTACCTCTGCCTTCTCACGGCTTGCAGCCACGCCGGTTTGATCGACGAGGCACAGCGGCTCTTCGACGAGATGTGGAGTAAGAACGGGATCAAACCCGGGCTGGAGCACTACCACTGCTTGATCGATGCTCTGGGGCGAGCGAACCGGATCGAGGAAGCACTGGCTATGGCGGACAGGATGCCTCACGCTGCGAACTGCGTCACCTGGACGATGATCTTGAGCGCTTGCCACAAGTGGAAGAACTCGCGAGTGGGAAGGATCGCTTTCGACGCGCTCCAGCGGCTGGATTGCAAAGAATCCGCCGCATACGTGCTCATGGGCAACACATTGTAGAAAACAATTTAAATCTTGAAAGCGCGGGGAAGACATATAGTTTGTAGATGGAACCGTGGTGTTTGTGAAAAGCTCTTCATCACTCCGGTTCCAAAGTAGAATCCTCCCACAATTTAGAGCTCTTCGTAGCAGCAGTCAGCAACCTGGAGAAATTGGTGCAACAAATGATATCAGGAGGAAGAAAACCGGCAATGGTGACCATGACTACTTGAGGAGCTGAGGTGGAAGATAATATTAGGAAGATCAAGCTCGGCACAAGTTGCCACAGCATTGAGGAGATGGGAAAGAAAGATGCAACTTGCTTCCATGTACAAGAACAATCCTTCCTCGCACTGGAGGTGCATTTCTTCAAAGATCTAAGAGGATGTATTTTTTTTAATTGTTATCTGTTGTGGCAAGCTTTAGCGTCCCCAGCACAAGCAAGGAGATCCTCTATGCAAATCAAAAGCTTAAGCTCAAGTTACAAAAATATTTTAAAAATCTAAAAGCTGGGTATACTCTTTAGCTTGTCTTATCAAGTTTAGTTCCTTCAATTTTTATTATATATACAGTCAATTACTTTGAGATACAAAAGATTTTCCCTCTTGGTAAGCAATTTATATGGACTATTGGCAACTAATATGTGATTGCAAAGTACATCTTTTATTTATGGATACATTCTTTTGTTTTCAATTGCATACAAAAACATTATGCACACAATCACATTTCTTTATGATAGTAATGAAGAGGAGCTTGATGGTGATTGAGAACACAACAAGCTCCAGGTGGTTAACCACAAGTCACTTGAACTAGTAATTGTATCATAGGGAGATCTTAATACAACTCAAGAAGCACCAAAGGCATGTATTGTGACCATTAGAAGATCTTTCCTTAGATGGGGATTAAGTAAGATCTTTGTCAGCAAGATACTATTGAAAGCATGACAGTTACCAGCACGATCACCACCACCACAGTAATCAGAGAACTTGGACTACTGTTCAAATCATTAGAATTCCAAAGGTGGTGGTGGTTCTTATGGAGTTTACCATGAAGAGTTTGGACTATAGCTTGAGCAAATGTGAATAAGTTATTTATTTAGATTTTAATGCAAATGTTAAATGAGCTTTTTTAATGCAAAACATTATGTATATACATGTTTTATACTATACATTACTCTAAATTAAAACAAAGCGTGTCACATTTGCATATGTTCGAGCTCCTTCTAAACCCTTGCAGCTCGCAGCTCGTTGCCACTTTGTCGTTCGCAGCTGCTTGTAGCTTGCCGCTCACCACCACCCGTGCTTGCAGCCTGCCACTCCCCATGCCGCTTGCTACGATGGGGGACATAAATAAAAAGCTCATGGAAATTATTCTCAAAGAATATTTTGCTGGATTAAACCCGGAAGTGTCCTAAGCATGATCGAAGGGGGACAATCATTAGTATGTTTTATTACTCTTGATTCATGAACAAACGCTCAGTGCTTCGTTTCCTTACCTTTAGCCATTTCCACAATCTTATTTATCAAAAGCGCCTTGTTCCTGAATGCTTTTCTCCCCGTCTCTTTCATTCCAAACTTCTCCTTAGCCATTTTCTCTAGCTCAACTCTCTCAAGCGCCAGAAGTCCAAACCCGTCGTCACAGACATCCGCATAATTAGTTTTCCAGACCCGGTTACTCGCAATCTCATGAAGTAGCTTGTAGTCTTTGGCGTTCAAGCCTGGTAAAGATCTATCATCAAACGGCTGAATGTGCTGCTGGAATGCAGGTGTTTCGTATGTGCTCCTCGACCATGACTCCTGCATCCCTCCACTATACTCGGGCTTGGAGGAACATCCCATGAACACATAGTGGAGCTTAACGTTGTCCGCGGTCATAAACTTGTCAATGTCCGGAAACCAGGTTCGCAGATAATCCAAGCTCATAAACTGCCAACATGACTTGATGTGTTCGTCGATATTGACAGTGTACTGGAGAGCCACAATGTGGAGACGGGAATTCTCGTCCACCCAGGCCAGCACCGCATCAACGAAAGGAAAACGCACGTCCAATGGCTTGTAGAAATAACCATTGTTGGGGCTGATCTTCAACATGGTCTCGACACTGCAGGAAGGAATAATGTTGAAGTCCACCACAGTGATGTGCCCCGAGATCTTCAGCTCACCGAGCACGAGCCCCTTCTTTTGAATTACATTTGCCAGAACGTCCTCGCACAACCAGCCAAGAAATGACCAGCTCACCTCCACGTCTTCACGATCCGAGAGCCGTCTAACATACTCCATCCAAGCTCCATCCTGATAAGGCTTGATTTTCTCTTCCTTGGCACGCACCACCCTCGTGTAAATTCTCTCGATAAAGCTGGAGCAGTAGACTCCCCTAACAGGATCCAGCACGTAAGTTGCGTCGAGACATGCCATGGCAGCGGCATCAGGGCATTCGCCTTCAAGCCGAATAGCTTCCGCCTTCTTGCGAACGCTTGAAATCTCACGGTGCTGGGCAAACCTCAGGAGAACTTTGTCCCAGTAGTCATCCTCGCTAAGCAGCTCCACCATCTGTTCTTCACTTGGTTCCAAGGGTGCTGCTAAGCCGACACTTTGCCGGAGGCTGGCACAACTTGTGGTCTCCGAGTCCAGCAAATCCCGCGTGACTTGGCCACAGCACTCGCATAGAGCCTCCAGAAAAAGGGGCACGAGCCCAGTGTGGTATTCGATGCTTTGCAATCGACCCTCAAGCTTTCCAAGCACACACCTGGATGCGTACGTGCTGAACTCAGGCTGGTCATAGGACGTTATCAGTTAGATGGACAATAGTATTAGTACCAAAGCTTACCAAGCTGAAGCCCCTGTCTACATACGCAAACAGCTCAAGACGTAGAGTAATAGAGTACGGATAATCATGCACAATGCGGGATTTCGGGCCGGTACACCACCATACCCTCTCCCCAGTTCGCAACAGCCGGTCCAAATTCTCAGAAACGCTACTCTTCCGCCCGGAGTCGTAAGCCGGTCCCTGAAAGAAGTCCAAAGGGTCCAGCTTCTCGCCGCCATCCACGAAGAAGTAAAACTCCTCCTGCTGCTGCTGCTTACGGGCCTCCACAAATTCAGTAACATTTGTCACGGAAGAAAGCTTTTGAATAGCACATATCACGGTGTCCGAGCCCTCCGCCAGAAATGAAAACAGCAAACTGTTTCTCATCGCTTCAGTTTCAGCAATCGAGAGCGTCTCACCCACAAGGTAGACTAGCCGCTTCTTCTTCACGTTACCGTGAGGCAGTGCTGAGGCTGGAGCAATTGGGCCGGCATTGGTGTTGTCGGCATGAACCCAGCCAAAGAGTATGCAGTAAAGCGCCCTGAAGTCGGACGACTTTCCTACGCCCCTGGGCCCATAGATCACGTAGTTATAATCGGACTCGTACCACCGAATGAGGAGTTCTCGTACAGTCGTTCTACCCACGAAGTTGAGAACTACTTCCGGCCTCGTACACGCACGACCTACACCAGGATACGGCAGGGCTGTCGATGTGCTCGGATCCGTGAGATCACTGTCCTTAAGCTTCAAAAGATCTTCAATCGCAGCTTTGGCCTCTTCAAGTGAAATTGAATCACCGTTCGGCATAGCGCCAACCAAAACCCTAAGCCTTAATCCGGCAGCCCAATCGGAGCCGTCGGATCTAGGCAAATATCGTTTTTTCCATCGTGCGTTATTTTGAAAAATCTTGGGCCGCTGATCCATGCTGCCGTTGTGCTCCTCCCGTTTCTCATCGCGGCTTGCAAGGGCTATAGTTGATAAATATTTCCATCAACAAAATATGGTTGACAAAATATCACCATCCAATCATGTTAAAAAGTGACTGTAAAACTCCTTGTTATGTTTTCTTTCTACACAAACATTGTTAAGGGAAATGCTCTGCAAATGAAAAGACTTTAAAGGGAAAAGAAAACTCCTCTCTTCCTTCTCGTCCAAGCCAAATGAGAGACACCATTGGTACTTGATTGTTAATGTCTAGAGTTTCACTATATCAACATGTAATTGTGTTATAGAACTTTGTAGCTCCTAGATTCCAGAGATTTATTCTTTCTTCTTTTAAATTTTAGCTCCTCTCTCAGCTAATATAAATGTCCGAGTTCACCTGTAAAGACGCAATTCAGCTCTGGCACATTCATTGCAAGAGCTTGGTGATGGGCACCGTTTTTTGGAGTATACGTTATGATGTCTGCATGATCATGAGCAGATGATCTGTGGCAATGTGCTGGGAAAGGTCACAATCCAAGCTAAATAAAATTAAGAAAATCGATGGTTCCAATCGTCAAACAAAAGCTCACCACAGTCTCCAGCGAGCTTTAGGTTGCAATCCCACGTCCTAGTGTGTCCAGGATGCCCAACCGTCTTTGAAAAATTACAATGGATTTACGCTGCTTCCAGCAAAGAAGATTGCCGCATGATAAACTTAACAGCTTTTATTCATCCCATTTGACAGAATCTTTCGGTGGAAGGGAAGAAAAAAACTGGTCTGCTGCAGCCTTGGCTGCTCCAGGCCCTGGCCAGCGATCGGCCACGAGCCTGCCATCCGACGGCCATGAATATTTTAATGCTTACGGAAAATTTGATAGATATTCTTGTGCTTCTTGATATTATTTAGGGTTCTTGGGCGCATCGAAATGGCACTGGACTTCTCGGGTATTTCTGTGCCGAAGGTTTCTATAATTGCGGTATTCTTGGTCCCCGCGTGGAGCATACTTACCAAGAAAACTCACAAACGTTCCAAATGCATAAACCCAAATGCGTTTGCAAACGAGGAAACTTATTCCATCACGTGACCCTCGGTGATATGGTTTTCAAAAGACCCTTTGAGAGTCGTTTGAGTTTCAGATTGGAGTTTTTGACAGGATGTGCACGACGTGATTCCGTGGACCACACTGCTACTGTAACAATGGTGAAGAGGAAGCACTGGAGCTGATTTCAAGAATGCTGCAAGATCCTGGAAGGTGTTCTCCGAATGCGCGAACGTTTGTTACAGCATTTAAGGCCTGTACAGCCTTGGTAGCAAAAGAAGATGGCCAGGTAGTCGCAGGAAAGCTGGTGAAGATGGTTTCACTGGAAAGTGGGACAGCTCTTCACGTCGAAGCAGCAAATTCCGGCTTTGCCTTGGACCTTTTCGTGAGCAACACTCACGCGAAGTGTGGTGCTCTTGTGTTTTCAAGAGCATCAAACTCCAGGCGCCGGCATCATACAACGCACTGATGCTGGGATATGTCAACAGTGGTGAGGCCGAAGAAGCTCTGACGTTTTTGAAAGAATGAGCTGCGACCAGGTGTGTGAACTTATGTGGCTTCTCTCAAGGCGTGCAGCATCCTCGCATCCAGGGAACAGGGCAAAAAAATCAGTGGCAAGCTTGTCAAAGGCGGAGTCACTCGGAAAGGCCAGAGCTCGGGCTGTGAAAGGTGGATTCTTTCTGGACTTGTTCATGGCCAACACTCTGATCGACGTCTTCGCAAAGTGCGGTGACTTGGAAGAGGCTCGCAGGATCTTCTACTCGATGAAGCAGCAGGACGTGGTATCGTGGAACGTCTTGATGCTCGGCCTGGCCGAGAGAGACCATCTCGAGCTCTTCGAGGAGATGGAGTCATAGGATCAGTGTAATCCCGACTCCAGGACTTACGTCGCAGCTCTCAAGGGTTATGTGAGCGTCGGGGTCTTAGAGACGGGACGAGCTCTCCACAATGTCATCCGCAAGCTCGTAATGGGATCCTCGCTCGCAAACAGCCTGGTGGATTTCTACGGCTGATGCGGGAGCATGAGTGAAGCTCGCGAGGCTTTCGACTCCATCAAAGCTCCCAAAGACGTGGTGGCTTGGAACTTGCTGCTCGCCGGTTATGGCAGGCAAGGTGGTGGAAACAATGCAACAGGCACGATGACGTGTTCTCGCAAATGCGAGAGTGAGGAGTGAAGCCAGTCGGGATCAATTACCTCTGCCTTCTCACGGTTTGCAGCCACGCCGGTTTGATCGACGAGGGACAGCGGCTCTCCGACGAGATATGGAGCAAGAACGGGATCAAACCGGGGCTGGAGCGCTACCACTGCTTGATCGATGCTCTTGGGCAAGCGAACCGGATCGAGGAAGCACTGGCTATGGCAGACAGGATGCCTCACACTGCGAACTGCGTCACATGAACGATGGTCTTTTGCCACAAGTGGAAGAACTCGTGAGTGGGAAGGATTTCTTACGACGCGCTCCAGCGGCTGGATTGCAAAGAATCCGCCGCATACGTGCTCATGGGCAACACACTGTAGAAAAAAATTTAAATCTTGAAAGCCCGGGAAAGAAACTCAAAAGGATATCGGCTTATAAGTTCTCCAGGTTGCTGACTGCTGCTGCAAAGAGTTCTATATTGTGGGAGGATTTTACTTTGAAACCGGGGAAGCCAGGACAAAAGTACAAGTCTCCGGGGTGTGCATTGCTGTGAAACCATAGAGGATTTGATTGGCTGGAGTTGCCCCCAAATCAAATCTGGACCAACAGAGTTAAGTTAACAAAGGAAGACTGAAGATTGTGTATGAGAACATCTTTATAACCTTCTACTTGTTCCAGTTGCTTGGTCTCCTCTTTTGATGAAGAGCTCTCTTTCTGCTGAGCACAAGCCCTTGACTTAAGAGATGTTGGGTGGTGTTGCTTGCATTCACGGACCATTTGCTCATGGCAATCCACCTCTCCACCAGTCATAGGCCAGGGACTCACTGTGAACTCCCCTTGACTGCCCACAGTTAAAAGCTGTAAGTGACTAAATTTTCTATTTTACTTTAGTCACTTAATCGCACCTCCGACCACTTGGAGGAGTTTCACTCACAACTTTCGTAAGTCTTATTTTGGACTTGGGTTTACTAGCCCCGAGAATGGTATCCCCGCCACTCAACTTCATGCACTTGGTCTAAGTGCTCCACGTGTCTGATCCCATGACCGACATCCCAAGGTACCACTGACATATCAGCCTGTTACGTTAAGGCCATGCCCCTTTACCTTGGTCACACCAGTGGTCTAACACCACCTGCATCACAGTCCCATCTCTCAAGGACTGGGCCATCCGTCCATGAGTGATCATTCCAGATCCACTCCGCATCCTTAGGATGCCCACAGACATGGGGAATAGCCTTCCCTAATATCCCTTTTCCGGTCTTCATCAAATCCCTTTTTGCCCATGGCCGTATTTGCCAACACTACCACTAGATCGAGGCCCACAGGCCCGACCACTAAATCCCACGGTCCTCTGGGACTTCCTCACCACTTGACTGTATCCTTGGTCACTACACCAGAGGACTACTCCTCTTCCTTTCCACAGTCTGGGCCTTTGGGACAACATTTCGGAATACTGTGGCCTTACGCGAGCCCCGTGGGTACTCTCCCCACCTTCCGCCTTTAGGTGCTCTAGCCATGGGCTTAGAGCAAGGTTCCGTTGAGCCACACCAGGTATCCAAGTAGGTAGTGCCACCCACACTTGGACTGGGAGCATCGGCCAGTCGATCTCTCGGGGGAATTAGAGCCGGCTCTTGAACACTTCACCAAGCTACCCCGCTTGTCGGTCCGTATTTACTTTAGTCTTGGACTTCCCAGTGGTCAATTCATCACCCAACATTGGGTTTGGCCTTCCTAGGCCAAACTGGCCTTTCCTGGCTAAACTGGCTCCACTGCAGTCCTCCCCCTTACTATACTTTTGGAGCTCACCAAACCTCCCAGGGTCTAGGAGACGAACGCTTTGGGCTTTCACCCTCTCAGACTCGAACTCGGACTCGGACTCGGACTTGGACTCGGACTCGGACTCGGACTCGGACTCGGACTCGGACTCGGACTCGGACTCGGACTCGGTCTCGGTCCCAATCTCGGTCTCGGTCTCGGTCTTGGTCCTGGTCTCGGTCTCGGTCTCGGTCTCGGTCCCAGTCTCGGTCTTAACCTCGGACTCCATCTCGGGTCCTTCTCGGACTCCATCTCGGATTCCATCTCGGGTCCATCTCGGACTCCATCTCAGTCCATCTCGGACTCCATCTCAGACTCCGTCTTGGTCCACCTCGGACTCCGTCTCGGTCTCCATCTCGGACTCCGTCTCGGTCCATCTCGGACTCCATCTCGGACTCCGTCTCAGTCCACCTCGGACTCCACCTCGGACTCCACCTCGGACTCCATCTCGGACTCCATATCGGACTCCGTCCTAGTCCACCTCGAACTCCATTTCGGACTCCGTCTCGGTCCATCTTGGACTCTATCTCAGACTTTGTCTCGGTCCACCTCGGACTCCACCTCGGACTCCACCTCGAACTCCATCTCAGACTCCATATCGGACTCTGTCTCGGTCCATCTCGGACTCCGTCTCGGAGTCAATCTTGGACACTTCCACGTGTCATGTGTTGGTCCTTTTTGGGTCCCTTTTTGGAGCCTTGCTTATTGGTTTCCTTGTGCTTGCTTCCACTCCCGCTCTCAACCTTCCAAGTCAGAGCTTTTAGTCCAAACGTGTTATGCTTGTTTGGCTTTCGCTTCGGCCACTACCACATGGCGCCCTTCCGGCTCCACTTTGGGGCCTAGGGATTTTGTGTCTCACAACTCCACCACCCATAGACGAAGTTCAATGTCCTCATCGAACGGTAAACCCTTTTATAAAGTAACACCCGCATGTATTACCAGTCCCATCCTTAGCATCCAGCTAATATTTGTCTATGGTTTGACACCAAAGGCGCACCATGCCTTGTCCATCTTCTAAGGAGCATAGTCTCTCCAACATATAGACTCATTCGACCACCTAGGGTGGTTTGCTCCCTTTTATTGGTTCAGTTCTCGCTAAACCCGTTAGAGGCTCCCTCTCTAACTCAATTCCACTACTCATTCTCGAGTAGTTTCAGATTCCATTGACATAACTTTGCACTTTGGAACTTTTAGTTTTTACTTCTCAGAGTCAATTTCCTAGGTGTCTTCGACACCTTATGTTGCACATGGTGCAACTCCACTTCTCTATCCTAGGAAGTTCTTTACTTGTGGATACTATCATCCTCTCTTCGATATCGTGCCACCTTTGACACTAAGTTTCAGTTATCATAATTGGTGCTAGGGCTGCCCTATTATTTGGCTACTTTTCCACTTCACCAAATTGGAGCGGTTGGGAATCCACCTTAGGGAAACTTGCCCTTCCCACATTCCGTTAGCACCTAACACATTAGTGTTCTCGGCCTAACTTTGCCATTTGGATTCTTTCCCAGGATTCCCATGGCTCTTTTCTTAGCCACTACTTTTTTGCTCCTATCCTTGATTGTTGCACCCAGCAACATAGGATCACTACCTCCATTTTCAAGGTTTCCTTTCAGTTCCATAGTAAACATTTTGCTTTGCTAAGTCTAGAGGATGTTCACCCTTAATACGTCTCTTTAACATTTTCTGCTATGGGCTCTATCCACAGCCCAACTTTTGAGATCTTTTCTTGGATCTCTTATAAAGATTACCTTCCTCGGAGTTACTATGCCCCAGCATTGACATAGCTCATTTCCCTTAGGTGTTCTTCCCACTTGGTCACCTTGACCAAACCACACCATTATCAATAGTTCAAATCAACACTTTGAACTAGGAATCATATTCCTTAACCCAAACAAAGACCTTGTCCTTGTTTAGCCACAAGATCATTTGGTGATCTCATCTTAACCCTTTAATAGGTCTACCCATAGGAACTAGGTCTTCTAGACCCCTCTATGTTGTTGACTATAACCCCGGAGGCATCCCCCACACTTGGCGGTGCGCCCAAGCCAGCCCTTTCGGCCAAGGATCCATAGCAACTGAGACTGAGTGTCCCCATCTCATTCACCACGTCCTTGGTGCCCTTTGCACCAAAGTGTTCAAGTTAGATATGCCGAGCTTTCACTCTAAACAATCTAACCATGCATCACGACTCCGAGGCATCCCTCGTTTGGCGGTGTGCCCAAATCAGTCTCCTCACTGAGAGTCCATGACCACCGAAAAATGAGTGTCCTCATATTCCAAACCATCACCATGCCCTAGTGATTTGGGACTCGAATGTAAGCTCCTAAGTTTGGACTTCTCGGGAGGTCACCCAGCCCAATACTATTCAAACCCAAGGATGCTTAACCCCAAGTATCCCAAGACCCTTAACTGATTGGAAAAGGGGCCCTTTCCCTCTATATTTAAACCCCTATGGATCGTCTCTCGAATCGTTCCCTTTGGTTGCTTACAATCCACCACGCTTCCCTGCAAGTTCACGCCCTCGTGAACGGAAGCTGAGAGCCGTAGCTCTCCCGAGAGCCCCGCTCTCTTGACACCCTACCCCTTGGGTCGAGCCCAGTGGGAGCAAACTGGACCAACCAGATGTCAATCAACATGTGGTGTGATTCCCCTAATGTGGTGTGATTCCCCTAGCCAACCAACAGAGTCGGACCCAAGACCCTGCTCCGATACCAAATGTAAGCTCCTGAGTTTGGACTTCCCGGGAGGTCACCCAGCCCAGTACTATTCAAACCCAGGGACGCTTAACCCCAAGTATCCCAAGACCTTTAACCGATTGGAAAAGGGGTGCACTCTTGTTCATGGGCCCTTTCCACCGATATATCAGCCTGTTACACTAAGGCCATGCCCCTTTACCTTGG